GCCACAAATAGTTTGAGGACCACAACAATTTTGACATCTTGACTTGGCCTCCAAATTCCTCAGATCTCAATCCAATTGAGCATCTGTGGAATGTGCTGGACAAAAAAGGCTGATCCATGGAGGCCCCAACTCACATCTTACAGGACTTAAAGGATCTGCTGCTAATATCTTAGTGCCAGAGATCACAGCACACCTTCTAGGGGTCTAGTGGAGTCCATGTCTCAGTGGGTCAGCAGCAAAAGGGGGACCAATACAATATTCGGCAAGTGGTCACAATGTTATGACTGATAAGTGTATATGTGAGTATTTAAAAGTGCAAAGCAGCTAACATTAGGTCATAACACAAATGTGTGAATCATAAAAATAGGTGTCAAACACAGGCAAAGTCACCCCCAAAGAACCACGGGTATTAGAAGTCAGAGGTCACCTTGAGGAACTGAAATATATCTGATATTACTAACACAGTTGCCAGACATTATAACTAAAAAGTTCCAGAGGGCTTAATCACCACTCTGTGACACAGTCTCATATGATCAGAAAAACTTCCCTGGCAGAAGAGTCTGCAGAGATTTGAGCAGGTTTGTTCTGAGAAACAGACAAAGAAGCCTCTAATCAGGAGTTCCATGATTATCCACTAGCCGGTACCAGATGCTGTGAAGAGCCACCTCATGTGGATTTTTGCTGTTTTCTCAGATTATATAACACGCAAGAAACTCAACATTCACAGGTTCTTCTCACAGGTGCACCCTGTGCTGCTTTTGCATGTTCATGATGCCTTTCCTCCAACTAACACTGATGATGTCCTCATTACCTGCACATGAGAACTAATTAAAGACAGATATAGAGCTCACTACACATTAATGTGATAAAAGTTTAGGTTCAGTTCCCATGTTATCTCAAGGTTGCAAATCTCAAGGTTCTGTAACTGTAAACTACAGTTTATGGTGGATTTATTTTTTTTCCCCACAACACAAGGGTAGACCTGATTAAATACCCCCCCTACTCAACTGGGGGACCCCACAGACTCAGTTGCGTTAGCCCTCACACAGTAGTTCTGCACTTTGCTGAGGTCTTAAATCAGAGGTTTAAGAGCTCAGCTTGGCTTTTAGTTGTTTCCTGCCTGCTGGCATAATGTTGACATTGTGCTTTAAACAGACGGGAAGGCAACTTGAAGACAGATTTTAACAATCATCTTGTCTTTAAAATTATATGTTCTTACCCCAGTAATAACACAGTAGAAGGTATTATTAGAGTAACACTACATATGAGACAGTTAGCAAAGCTTTCCTTAATAGCTGGCTGCTAAGATACATGAATATGGGTACTTTAAATGTTTAAGATTATTTTTGCACTTCCCACCTCACATTGGGATGGAGTGTCCATCATTCAAGAATGCATTAAAGCGCCAACAAAATTCCCAATGACAACTTTGGAGCAGACATTCACACTGCACCTTATTAACAATACATTACATTGCCTACACTTGGACTTCACTGCAGCACGATGCGTACCAACGTGAAATCCCCTCCTTACTGTGTCTGTGCCCAATGGCAGTGACTGCTGGGAGCATCACGTTTCTTACCTTCTTGACGGATTTCAGTGTGGGGACTGCGGTGAACGCTGCGGAAGTCATTTCTCCAACGTTCATATTCACATCACTGCTGTTTTTGCTGACAGTCAACACGGAATATTTTTCCGCAACGTTTTCGGTCTCCTTGACATATTTCGTGCCCTGTTTAACCTCCGTCTTGCTGTCCACAACTGTGTCTGTCATTGCATCCGAGTGATATCGATACTGTTACTGGAGAGGAGAGGGGGGAACAAAAGCCGGTTCTGGATTGAGTTGAAACTAATACCCTTAGCTTCGCCTTCTTGCTCTCTTGGCTAAAGCTTCGTGGCTTAAAAATGACCGAACCGACGCTGAAGCACTACACCACGGAGCAAAGCTAACAAAGTAGCCCACTTCACTAGATATGACGCTTTTTTTTCTCCCTTATCTACTTTCTAAAAGACTCGCACGGCCACTTGCTTCGGTCCTGCAGGTCTGCTGTCATCCACAGACGGCAACATCTCCCAAGGTGAGGGAGGGAGGGGGCGTTTTGTTGAGGCTGTCAGACAAACCAGTGGGCAGTGTGTAGGCGGTGATAAGCCAGTTAGCTCCAGTGGACAGGAAAGTGACTGCTGAATGTGTAACGGCTGAGGCATCGCTACCCATAAGGAAATAAATTACATAATTTATTCGTCATTTGTGAGACTAAAATGTCAGATGTTCAGCACTGCAGTTTTTTCTTCTGCTCTGTTTTTTATGCTTAGTGCTACACTTGACTGTTATACAGCCCTCTGTTAATCAGCGTAGCGCTCTTAACACAAGTCCCGCCCACTTTTTAATGATTGGCTGATCGGGGACCAGCGTCCGCAAGCTACAGCCCCTGATTGGCAGAGTTTGCTAATCGCGATGCTTTACCTGGGAGGTCCTGATCAGGGAAAAGGGGAAGTCAAGTCAACCTCCGGCTAAATGTACACGACTACGCATGACTACTTTGTTGTTTCAGCTGCCTTACTGAATAAGATAATTAACTGAATTTAAAATTCTTTAAGACTGCAGCAGGACCAGAATTCTGTATTTGCAATTTCAAAGGTAATAAGATAATAAAGGCCTTATATATCCTATATTTCTGAAATTCTTTATATGGGTCAAGAGTTATTTTCACCAGCCTTCTCAGGTGGGATGAGTCTAGTCTCCCCAGCACATTCATCATATTAATGTGAAATGAGGGCAGCCAACCAGACAGGATGTTTTCTTTACCATCTCCTGTTTCGTATTATAAATGTTACGCAGGATCACAGACAGATGGCTAGCTCTGATGCCTTGCCCTGTTGCAGTTTCTCCAGCTGTCTCCTTACCTGGCCAGATGTCACAGTCAAGCAGAGGGTGTTAATCAAATATGGAGGAATCTGATCCATGGAGTTCAATTGGGGAAAAGAAGGGCAAATCACTAAGACAGAGCAGGTGTGGACTCCAGGATTTGTAGGTAGCAGCAGCTTAGTGTGAACTAAACCTGTTGAAGAAAACGTTAAACTCGTTTGCTCTCTCCATTTGGCCCACTGTTTGTCCTTCTGTCACCTTAAACCTAGTTATTTCCCCCATTCCACTCTACACATCACTGGTATTGTTCTGCTGGAGTGGGTTTCCAGTTTCTTTCTGTAGGTGTCCTTTCGTTCCTCCTTGTGCTACACCCCCTCAGTTCTTCCTTGACCCCAAGACCCGAAGGCTCTCTTCTCTCCTCTCTCAGGTAGGTATTTGTAATACTGATCAAATGTGACCTCTAATTTAGTTATTTGGAAGCTACTGTTCACAGAGTAAGACCTACATAGACGTACAAAATGTACTCTCATCAACTTGTACAAAACCCTACTTTGCTAGTCAGCATCAAACATCACTGTTACTCTGCATATTAATTGATTCCCCACTTTTTCCCCTCTTCCCTGATATTTTTATACTGTTCAAGGTGAAAAACCTGAACTTCATCCCCGTTTCAGAATATGTCACAAGTTTAAGTTCAACAAATGATTATCCACCTCCACTTCTGACCCCCAATTACTAATATTATGACCTAAGTAGTAGTCACTCAATCATCAGTTAGAAACATCTTGAAAATCTGGTAGTTTTAGTTTTGTTTTTTAATCAAAGAATCATATAATGAGATAACTCCTTACTCCTCCTTTTCCTGTGATAGCAAACTGAATATATTTTGTTTTGGAACTTTTGGCTACATAAAATATATTCACAAACAGCTTTTGCTTTGGGAAGCTGTGGGCTATTTTTTGATTGTTTCAAAACATGTTGGTTTTGAAACAAGCTTTACACCTATTCCCCATTTTTCTAGCAAAATATGAAAATGAGGGCTGGTTCAAGACTTTTGCACAATGCTGGACATCTCATTATGAACAAATTAAATACATGCGAGTAAAAAAAATGAAATAAGTGCACAAAGGTTTCACAGACTATACACAGAATTTTAATCATCCTTATCAAAAATTGAAATGTATGTTACTTTGTCCAAAATATCTGACAATTATACTCATGCAACAAGAGAAAAACAGTTTCTAATGAACATAGTTGTGAAAAAAAAATTCCAGCAAATGTCATCCAAGGCATTATAATGCAAACAAAACTACATGGCATTGGCTAAGACTCAGGGGACATTTTAAATAAATAGATGACAGTCTGAACTCTACACAATCAGGGAGTAAAAAAAACCCCAGAAGAATCCACCTATAACCTTGAGTCACTTAATAAAATTTAATTGACAAAGGTTACATGAATACAATGTCAGAGTGCTATTTAAAAAAAAATAACATTGCAGGACTGCATCTGACAGGTAAAAAACAATTCAAACAAAGAAGAAAAAAAACCACCTAGACGGACTGAACGATGAAGATGTAACTACGTGGATAAGAGTGCGTAAGGTGATGCAACACTGAACTACTTTTTTCCCAACAAACACCAACTACTAACTGTATAAAATGCATCCACACAACTGGGCAAATCAGTAGGTATTCCAAACACATTGGGGAAGTAATGGCTGTACAAAATCTTCACATTAGTATTACATTTCTGTTTTTACTCAGTGAACACAGGGCATGCTGAGACCACCCCTGCGCTATGTGGGTTTAAAAAGATGAAATTCCAAAATAAGGGCGCTTACATAAAGAACAGCAGTGTAGCATCAATGCATAAAGAATATCTCTTTTTTTAAAAAGAAAAAGGAAAAAAAAACACAACAGGTACCATTTACAAAAAATATTTAAACCAAAACGCATCCACTGGTGACAAAAATCTCATTTTCAAACAGACCAGGATCTGACATGATGGCTTCATGGCTGTCATTTCCTGTCACTAGCTTCGTTATTTTCAAAACTAATGCTTACGAAAATAAAAAGCTGGTCCTTAGTGCTCAACCAGATAAGCTGAGCATGACAGCATCCATTTTTTTGGATGAACAAGGCCAGAAAAGTTCATAGTCTCAGCAGCCATACAGCCAGCTCCCTGGAAGACCAGTGTAGGAGTAGAGACAACAGAAAAAGCCCAGTGGTAGCACTGTGGTTTGGTGTATGGCGGTGAGGCAGGAGGAAGTACAGATGAAAGGAAAAAGTGGTGGCAGGAGGTCAGCTGCGATGAAGAATCTCAGGCAGGGTAGAGTTCAGAAAGAAGTGATGATGTCAATGACAGTGCTATGAAACTCGGATCATCTGAGCCACTGTCTCATCTGCTGCTGCCTGGGCGACATCCTGCATCAGAAGGGCAGAAATGGGAGGTAACAAAAGCAAATTGAGCTCATACACTTAAAATCTCACAGTTTTAAGTGTATGACAATTTGCAACAAGCATTATAGGCTTGAGTTGCTATGTTCTTTCTACAAACAGCTGCCTACCTGTGATAATCCCAGACCCATTTCCTTGTCCTTAGGGGAAAAGAAACGACCGCCATCTCCCCGCTTACGCTGCATTGCATGACGATGGCGAGACTCATGTAGATATTTCTGCTAGACAGGAAGAAGGTGGATTACTCACATTAAAATTTGGTTCACAACAAGCCCATCACTAAAAATCACACACAGAGTACAACACAGAAGAATTTAAATATATAGGGTTTTTTTTTTCCCCCCCTCTCAAAACACTCAAGTCTATACGTTTGACAGAAATGGCCTACCCTCCTTTCCTTGGGAATCTTGCCCTCTGCTTCCAGCTTAGCCCGAGCCTGTCTTCTCTTTAGGATGCGATGGTACTGTTTGGCATTGACATACAGTGGCTCCTCTTCAAGCATTTCAGCCCCTGGCAATGGGATTCGCTGCATTGTGGGAACGCCGCCACCTCCAGGTACCATCTGATTGAAGGAAAAGACAAAGACACAGTGCTTAATATGTCACGCATTTTACAACAGATCCTACTCACAAAAAGACAAATATCAATCCATTCAAATAAAAGAAAAAATTCACACTGCTCTTCCACACCCATACAGATGTTTTAAGTCATTCTTATTTAGACTCCCCAACAGTTGCATACTGGGTCTCCACTGCCAGGAAATTTCACAATGTCAGTTTATTCTACTAACTACTAGCTTAAGGATGCAAGCTGCCCAACCTGAAAAGTCCAGAGCAAAATGACACAATGAAACTGACCATCAACTACTGTTTGTACAAAATGGGTAGCATTCAAAGACAAGCCGGATTTGGATGACCATTCACGTCATTAAGATTACAGTCTATGCAGTGAACACGGCATCTTTTAAATGTGGACTTAAACTCAAGGAACCCTATTTATGCTTTGTTGTTTTCAGGCAATATAAGCACCAATAATGAAACTTCCAAAACATTATTAGTTTTACGTATGAACAAAATGCTAATGTGAATTGTATTTAACATGGATACAGCCCGGGAAGAGCATGTATCCAAAAATCACCTGTTTAGAAGGACCACAGGTTTACAGGGGGGGTTAAACAAACCTAGACGTGTTCATTTTAGGGTTTGATAAGGTGAGCTATAATTATAACTGACCTATGAAAACACCAGTGATCATTCATAAAAAATATATGTTTAAGCCCATGACCTTTACCATATACCCATGTGAGAGTCTAGATTAGGAAAAACAAAGGTAATAAGGTGCTGGGTACCTCTGCACAGGGCCTTACCATGACCATTCCACCTGCATTGACCATGTTGCCAGAGACGGGCAGGGTGACGGTCACAGTGCCTTGGCCGCTGTTGGTGGTGTTGGTGTTGGCACTCCCTGCTTGTACAATCTGGGCACCTGCCAAGCTGGCAGCTGGAATTGTGATCATTCCTGAAAACAGATAATCATCCCAAAACTTTTTGAACATGACAACTCACCCATGCTCCTATTTAGAAAGTCTAAATAGCAGAAGTCAAACACAAATTGTGGAGGACAGCCTAGTTTACCCTGCTGCAAGACAGTACCATCTGCATTGACAGGCTGGTAGACGATGGTCTGTCCATCAGCTGTCTGTGCCACCTGTTGGCCCTGCACGCTGATCTGCTGTCCCTTGATAGAGAGGGGGGAAATTACTTTACATCATTTTATGGGGATTTATTTATTCAATAGATTTTTAAATAAGAAGCTTGGGTTTTTGCTTTTTTAATTTTTTCAAAATTTAGTACTTGGTTCTGTCCAGCTGTCATGCCGGTCTGGGGCTGCTGGATGATGATCTGCTGAGGCTGACCCTGCTGGCCCTGCAGCTGCAGAGTCTGACCACCTTGCAACTGGATTTGACCTGGCTGCACCAGCTGGATCTACAGACAGGTACAAAAACATCAACAGTGGTTAACTGGATTATAGATCAACACCACAGCAAACAGAATAACAAGGATAAACATGGGGGAAAAAAGTACACTTTGCTACCTCGCTATCAACTTAATCTTACATAAACACTAAAAATAACAACAAGGGGAAAAAAACCTACTCAGTGTACAGCGTGCTTCTCAAACTTCAGCGTTTACTTCCAAATCTATACTAGTTAGTTTACTATTAATATTATTCCAGAGTAAACAGTGTTGCTTTAGAGAACAATGTATAATTTAATTTAGATACTTTACCTGCTGTAGTCCCTGAGCACCAGATACAGGGACCTGCATTATGGTTTGACCCTGACTCCCTGACATGGCCTGCACCATAATGGGTTGCCCTGACGATGTGATGAGCTGTCCACCGCTCACCTGAACCATCAGAGGCTGTCCCTGGACCTACAGGGAGATTCAGACAGCTATTATAGCAGCACTGACAGTGTTCGTCTCAGTGTCTCTTGTTACTTGCAGAGCTGCATGCAAGTGGTATGACATGAGAAACATCCAGGATACTACACTGTGGATAAAAGCACTTGTTGATCTCACGTTTATTGTTTCCTAAAATACAAACATGAAAGCATCCTGTTATATAGCATTGATTATTTCTGTACCCAATGTATCTAGTGTATGTTTAATCATTTTTCTCATGAGCTTAGGCTACAGAAAAATACAAAACTTCTGCATGTAGAATTTAGGTCTTGTATTTACAGCCATACTGCTATTGAAACAAGAGCTTACAAGAACTGAATTTGCTTACTGTACCTTTGTGGTCAAGATGTTGGTAAAATTAATTTGCATTCACATGTTCAACTTGGTACTGATATTTCATCTTATACCATAAAGTGACCACAGCGTACAACTTATGGTCTGTGGCAGCAGCAGCAGCAGCAGCATGACAGGAAGTAAAATTGTAAGGGCAAAGGTACCTGCTGACATTATTCAGCACAACAGTAAGAAAAATATCAGACTATGATGAACAGTGGCAGCCAGTAATGGATGTGGATCCATGCAGACCTCAGAAGGTTGTTCTGTTGTATATTCTGCATATTTTTCTCCACAGCCATCGCACTTCAGAACAAGAACATCTGACTTTCTAAACTTGCTTTTAATAGCAAGAGACAAGCACAACTCAGTGTAGACAGCCATGAGAGCAAAAGCAAAAACCGGAGGCTGACACAGAAAACACTGTGCTGAGGAACGTGCAGTTGCAAGACATGCTTGGGAGGGAAATGATGAACCAAACAGCACAGATGGGTCCTGGAAAAATAAAAATACAAACAGCCCTGGCTATGGCATGCAAACCGGTAGGCTGTGAAACAGTCATGACACTGACACAGGGCGGCGGTGACACCACTACCTGGAGTGTCTGCACCTGCTGGCCTGAGGCCGTCACCACTGGCGCCTCTGTTTGCAGCTGCACAGCCGTCACTGTGCCCTGTGTCTGCAGGCAGGGCAGGATACAGACTCATATATACAGACTCAACAACAAAGTACCAAGAAAATATATTGGAACTGGATTATTGCATCTCAAATCATCTTTTTTTTTTTTTTTAAACAATGTATAGTCAACCATTTCCGATTTGCCTAAAATTATATGGTCTGAGGCTTGGACATATCTATAATGCCTGCTTTGAAGTGTTAGCTTCATGTTTGAAATATATCTAGATTTATTTATTTTAAAAGGCCAGTAAACCCAGTTTTCTGCCTTTTAGGCAGAAATAATCTGCACAATGAAAACTCAAACAAAGTTTGAACATGATTACCTTAAAAATTTGACCTGAAAAGATAAAAAAGTTTGCATATTTTTAAACAATTATGTTCTTGGTTATAAGTAGAGTAATTAGAAAAGATCTGTTCTATTTAGATTATTAATATTTTTGTGGTATAAATGTGTGTCATGTCTCAATCTAGCATGAAACTTGAATGAAAATAGCATCTTCTTCATGTTTGTGACTGAGGATTTCATGTTAAAAATGATTATACATGTTATTTTGCAATATTGTGAAATACAGCTATATATCGTTGAGAAATTGTCACTAGTTGTCTTTTAGAATGTGACCTTTTTTATTAGTCTTTACTAGAGATGGCACGGTACCACTTTTTTATGTCCGATACTGATATCATAAATTTGGATATCTGCCGATACCGATATGAATCCGATATAGTGTTTTTTAATCAATAAAACTGTTTTTTTAATATATTGCTGCATTTTGTATAAGTTCATACTCAAGTTTAAATAAACAACAACACTAAAGCTATTCTGTTATACCTGTATATAAAAAATACATGGACCCAAAATATTTCATAGTTCAGCAACACTGATCAATCTAATAAACTTAAACCTGCTCCATCCTCCCTATTCTGGTATTTTAAAGAGTACTTAGCAGAAATATTAAGCAACCTAACTAATAGGGTTGCAAACTCCCAGCAAAAAAAATAATAAAAAAAAATAAAAAATAGGGAACCACCCCCCACCTCCTGACGCTTAATCAGCGTAATCAACTTTAATTTGATGCAGTGTGGAAAATAAAATGCACAGAAATAAATTATTTTTCAAGAATAATTAAATAGATTCAACGTCTTTCTTCAACAGAACTGCAGACTGCACAGATCGTACCTTCCCAAAGGAAAAAGTACTATAGCTTAGTAGGCTATATTAGACTTAATAGTTACTATATACAGTAATGGACTTCTATACATTTTACATCAGATTAAAATTTTGGGTGTGAGATTCAGATATTATTTATTAAACACTAGACATTTTAAATGAGAATAAGAAAGAAAAGTATGCCTTTGTGCCCCCTTTTCCCTGTTCATGCCCTATTGGCCCCCCTGCATAACTTTGCTAGATCCGTCCCTGCACAGTTACCAGCCGTCAGCTACATAGAAAAAGATCCTGGTGTACAAAGTAATATTAAATAAATTCTAACAACAGATTATCAAGCTTAAACGTGCTGCTGTTGTTCAGCCGCTGGTTTCCTCTTTCTGGCGCAAAGTGGGCCAAAAACAAAGAAGAGAGACGGACTCGCGACAGAAAAGCCGATCAGCTGATCATTGATCAGTTTCACGATTGAAGTAGCAGCAAGAAGAGGCAGTCGCTCCATATAGCGGTTGTTAAGCTTAACGTGGGAATGCTTTACAAACATTCAGAGATGAACTTACACACTTGCTTTACTTCTCTCTGGGTTAACTTCCTCGGTGATGAAATGCCAGTTTGGTAGCGAGGCTTCAAATACACACAGCCGCTCTATCACATGACGCATACTGCTCCCACGTGCTACGGTTATGAGCAGAGTTACGCCATGTCGCAAGTTTTGTGAGGTGCTTGTTTGATATTTAATGGATCGGATTACATTTTTTATTTCTCTCCGATATCCGATCCAGTAATTTACGTCAGTATCGGACCGATACCCATACGTAATATCGGATCGGTCCATCTCTAGTCTTTACTCAAATATTAGACTTTGCAGGACTGCTTTAATTTTTCTCATATCTGATCTAGCCAATCTCTCTCTCCCAATTTACAGACGCTGGTTCAGTTTTAGGAAAAGAGAGTTTAGTAAAGAATTGCACTTTTATCTTTAATAGTGTTAAAGATATCCATTTTGAAAAATTGCCTCTGATATCAAAGTGTGAAAAGAAACATGATGGAAGTGGGTTGATGTGACATTTCTCAAAAAAAATGTAGATCTTAAAAAAATGTTGATATCACTCTCAATAATACTTCGATCACAGGTATCATGACTTATGTAATCTCTGGACTTTTAGGGCAAATTAGGAGGGCTGATCAGAAATGATATCATGATTTGAGATCCAATGATCCAACTGGAATCCCTAAAACTTTATTTTATTTTGACCCTCTGGTACTCATAATCTTACTACATATTAGTTCATATGTGGTGGTAGGGCAATTTAAAAAATAATAATAATAATAATTAAAAAAGGAATAAAATTGTCAACCCTAAGCTCACCTGCTGCTGGATCTGTCCATTGGCTGTCTGAACAACAATCTGCTCTCCAGTAGTAGTGGTGGCAGTGGTGTACTGCTCCATGGCTTTTTACCGTGAAAAACCTGATGAGGCAAAGACAAAGCATACAAATGAACCAATATTGGATTTCTATGGTTTACAGTGCATTTTATACGTAAACAAATGATAATCTTTTTCGACGGCAAAAAACCCCGTCTTTTTAACCGATATCTACGTGTTTTCAATTTATTGTTCTCAATATTTAAATAGGACCTACTGCTTCCTCACACCGACTTGTGCCACACTGTGTCAAACGTGAAGTCTACGAATTTCAGCTGAAACATAATCCACCCAGGAGGACACAGCTGTGTCAGCTGCTGGATTCCTCTAAAGCGGAATTTTATTTAGCGGGTATTTTAGTGGGGAAGCTAACACGGCTAGCGCCAGTCCGCTAGCTAAAAGCGTGGTAAATTCTAGAAAGCGCATAAGGATGCCATTTGTGTCGTAAACTCCGAACGTGTATATTCTCTTGTGGGCAGCTTGTTTATTACAGCTCATTATAATGTACCTGGCAGCGTTTGCTGACGGTCGAACGGTGGCTTTATACCCGCTCTTTGTTCGAGAAACGATATTTTAGCGAAGGAGCTAACGCTAGCTAAGGCTTGTGGACCAAGCGAGGATCATGTTTCCTCGCGGTGGCCAACGCTAGAAACATGAAGCTATTTGTAGGTCTTGGGACGCAGCGGTCGAAATCAAACTGCAATTTGAGTTTTTTGCATTAAGCAGGGTTAGTAATTTGGTTGGTCCATGACAAACCAATCCGTGCTGACAACTACCAATGCCTTCAATCGGGGCTTCCTTACCGTATCTTCGCTGTCCGGTTTCCCTCTGATTGGCTCCAGTACAGCTTGCTAAAGCCCAATCAACAAAGTGAGCGGACAAAATGGCGCAAATGAAACAACGGCGACTGGGAGAGAGGTGCGCAGCTGCGTGACACTTGAACAGGGGGGCGAGGCAGCGTGCAGTGTCCCTGTCCCCTCGGCAGATGTCGCCATTTAGTTTGAGTTTTTATATTTCATCAGACTTCTCCTGACTTGTATTATATATGTTAACTGGTATTCGATCATGTTAAAAGTGGAAATTAATCCAGCATCAGTACCGTTAAACCTGCAACGCGTCCAATTTAAGTAGTGTTATGGTTCAGGTAATCACCTTTGTTCAGTACAGGGACACGTAATAATGTTACCTCCGTAGCGCTAGTTGGCAGTAGAGCGCCGATTTTATGCTATGAGCCCAGTGTTTGCGGAAGTACTTCTATGAGTGGTGCCATGAGTGCGTGAGCAGCAAGGTTAATTTTAATTTATAGTAAAATACGTTTTTGTTTTCATGACACCTAAGTGACTCCCTAAAAACAAGAAAAGAAAAACGAAAGGAATAAAAGGACGACACATCGTTTTTGGCATGGCCAGGTCTGTGCAGATACTCTCCCTCCTCTCCAAGTTTGGTGCTCCATCTCTGATTTCCTCAGTGAGCGCTACCAACTGCCGATTTGCAAGCAGAGGGGCCAGCAAGGCACGGATGGGACAGGGCCCTGCGCAGGCAGACAGAGGATCGAGCAGACCAGGATACAGCGATCAGACATCTAATGGAGAACTCGAACTGGAGGACGTGGAGGACAAACTGCAAGCCTTAATTCAGTAAGATTCAATAGGACTTTTCACACATTTCTCCAGTGTAAAACGATGTTAAATAATAAATATATGGTGTCTTTATGACAAGATATATGAAGTATTCTGGGGATTTGTTTCAGGGAAGAAAGAAAAAGACAGAAGACTGTGAAGTATCACATATTGAGGAGGCAGATGACACCATCAGGAGCTCCAGAGAGGAGGTTAACCTGGGATGCCATTGAGCAGATCAGGTGAGAATGAGTGTTAAGTTTGTCCAGACAGTAAACTAAGAAGTGTTTCAAATTAAGCCTCATATGAAATCTCAATCAACTTTCAGACATCTGAAGCAAAATCAGCCAGATGAGTGGACAGTAGAGCGTCTGGCTGAAGGCTTCTCTGTCAGTCATGATGTGATCCTGAGAGTCCTGAGAAGCAAATTCGTCCCCTCTCCTGAAAGAAAAGCCAAGCAGAATGCAAAAGTAATGGCTAAAATGAGCCAGCAGGTGCTGCCTTCAGGTGCTAGGACACAGCAGGACAGGTTGAAACTGCCCGAAAGGAACTCACAAGCCATACTCCCACCTGGAAGCACAGAAGGTGCTTTGATCCCTGTGGCTAATCAGACTCCGGTGATTCAAGGTCATGGCTCACGTTCCCTAGCTAAGAGTCCTGTCCCTGTTACTGTTCAGCCCACACACATTGCAGCTGGTATTAGTGAAGATGCCACAGTGACAGAAACAACAGAACGCAGCACTAATGACAGTGACCTTACAGAGGAGGATGAAGAGAGTTGGGATGGACAGGTGTTGACACAGGAAGAACTTGAAGAGCTTGTGAAAATGGAAAAGCCCTCTTCAGCAGTCCAAGTTGGGAATGATTTCTTTGATGCAGATGGAAACTTTTTGTATAGAATCTGAGAACATGTTGTGTTGTTAGCTCAGCATGTACAATGTTGGGGTCGTGCAAATTACCAAATAAAAGTTATTTTGAATCTTTGTGCAAAAGATTTTTTTTTTTCGTCCAGATATTTCATGCCCATTTCACCCATGTATTGACTTCCCAGTTTATCCCTATGTCAATTTTTATTGACATAGACAAATACACTCACAAGCCACTTTATTAGGTGCACCTTGCTAGTACTGGGTTGGATCCCCTTCAGAGCTGCTTTAAGTATTAGTGGCACAGATTCAACAAGGTGCTGGAAATATTCCTCTAAGATTTTGGTCCATATTGACATGATAGGAATTATGACATCATAAAGTCATACAATTGCTGAAAATATGATACATACGTGATGAAAACGTCCTGTTCCACAACATCCCAGAGGTACTCTATTGGTTTAACATATGGTGACTGAGTGCAGTGAACTCTGTCATGTTCAAGGAATGAGTCTGAGATCATTTGAGCTTTGGTATCCTACTGGTGGGTTTAACTTGTGCATACATGGATGGATGCAGTCAGCAACAGTACTCAGGTTAGATGTAATCTGACACTCTAGGGATCCCAAGTCTGACAAGAAATTATCTCCCACACCCTTTCACCACAATCAGCAGCCCAAACTGTTGTGCCTTCAGAGATACTCTCCTGCATACCTTTGTTGTAATGAGTGATTATTGGGTTTTTGTTGCCTTCCTATCAGCTCAAAGCAGTCTGGCTATCAAAAATTCAATGCCAGAGGAATGATTACTTCAGTTGTTACACAACCACAGTTCTGAACTTATCCCTTTACAATCTTAAAACTGGGACGCTTTGTAAAATGTAAACAAAAACTGTCTGCAGTGATCTGCAAATCTCATAAAGCCACTTTTCATCCACAGTCAGACACAAAACATCACATTTAAACTGAACCACATAACCAAATATTTTGAATTTGATGGTAGCAACAAATGTCCAAAAAGTTAGGAGAGTGCCATCGTGTAACATCCCCTCGTCTTCTAACAAATGCATTTTCTTTGTTCTACTGTGAATAAAATCTGGGTTTATGCAACGTACAAATCACTGCACTGTTTTTTGGAACTGGGTTTTTATAAATCATGTGAAAATATCCCCAGTTGACAGTTACCCATTATTATTGTAAGTCTCACATTCTTGCATTACTGCCGTTAGTGACAAACCACCACGCAGCACAAATAGAGGAACATATGAATTTATTGGCAAACCCAAAGAAAATTGTCTCAAATATACAGAAAAGAGAAACATATCAGATAAAAAGGTGTAACCTTGTATATGTACAGAACCATCACAATGACTTCATTTATACAGCAGTTTTAAATTTTAAGAAAAAGTGTGTTACCTTCACCTAAAGCAATAAATGGTCGTAATAAGAACTCGCCAGGTCTCTTCCAGTGTAAAGCGGCTACATGATAACCCTGTGTCCACTGCTTTTATTCAAGATCACTTTCTTGTCAAAGTAGCCAGTATTAAATCTCATACCAACATAGAAAAAAAGAAAAGAAAAGAATAACCAAGTTATTACAGGTCATTTTCTTTTCACAGCTGTAGATATAAGTATTATTGAGAGTTAACATGCAGTTCGGTGGGAGCTCATATAAAACAGACATTTACTGCTCAAAAATTATTCTTAGGCAACAAGTGCAACTTAGAGATGAAACTGATTACATATCAGATGATATAAATAAAAACAAAAATCAAAAATAAAATCAGTAAATAGATGCTGGCCACACATTAGGTCCTCACACCAGGCACTTGTATAACCACATCCAATTTACTGCACTCTGAACCAGCTTTTCACCAATAAATTAAACTTTAAAACAAGACGGACAAATAATTGTGCAAAACAACAAACATCATAAGACAGAGTCGTTAAGACCGATTAAAAACAAAACAGTAGTTCACTACAGCTTCAAATGCAGAGATCCACCCACCAAACAAAACAGTCTTGGCATGGCTTTGGCTCTTATCCAGCCATGGTTACAGCAGGAGTTATGCTATACAACATATATAGATTTGTTGGTTTTCATATTGCTATATTTCCAGAACCAAATAATGTTGATTAACTTGGTTATATGTTTGTGTGGTTTAAAAAAATCTCTAAATCTGTAATTTTTACTCTGAAACTATATTTGTTTCTGAACATCTTTGAACTGCAATCTGTCAGTTGTTATATAATTTGCAAAAGTTGATTAGTACCAAAACTGCTGAAATTGTTACAAACATGACAATTATATGACTACAGTGATCATTTGTCTCATCACAACAGGTCAGGTTTAAGAAAAATGTTATACTACAAACTCTTAGCATTACAGGAGGCCTTGTGCTTGAGGCAATTCGAACTGCAGACAACATTTTAAACAATTTCTGTCCTGAAACAGACATACTTCACTACCCTTGCAGTTAATGCACAACGACAACGATTCAGCCAACAAACCTAAAAATAACATGTTACTACAGAATTTTTTTTGATGTGCACGGAGAATTTTATTGCTATAAAATGCTATGGACATGGAAATTTCCACATTCCTTATTACTTTAAAGAAGACGTGTGCCAAACATTTGGACGCTGGTATTCCAAATACAAGATTTTACATTTTGGTCAGGCTTAAGACCCCAAATTTATAAAGCCCTCAATATTGAAGGACAGTTTTTGACAAACAAATAGTTTGTTAAAACTAGGTTAAGAGTCAAGTGTTCCAAAAGAATTACCAACCATTCAACAACCTTTTTTTTGTTTTGCTTTTTTAAACACTTACCAAACTGATACCACATCAAAAATGGCAAAGAAAAACAGGTTTATGTACAAGTGCATGAGAAAAGAAGTGTGAAATATTTCCAGGTGCACTCCAAGGTGATAGAGAGGGAGAACCCGTAATGCGGTGGCGATGGATTTATACAACCAGCTTTAGATTACGGCATAATTTCTTTAGCTCCTAAAAATAAATAACTTTGGGATTCAAACTCACTCAACAGAATCAATAACTGAAGCAAAACACAGTAAGACCTTCGTTGTAATGCTCCTCAACTGTGGCATTAGTCTCAGAGAGCCTCTGTACATTCATCAGGCTGAACCAATGACAGCAGAAGGACAGATTCTTCATCTGTAGCCAAGGCCAAAGTTTATACTAAAAGGTGAAAAGGAAAGTATCTGGAGACAAAAAGAGCGGCAGGAACAGCGGCAGGTCGCGGGACCCTGTAAGAAACCTGTTGCTCAGTTGCTTGACAGGTTGTGCCTGCTATTCAAGCAGATCCTGTGCAAAGAGAAGACAAGAGCGTAACAGGGAAGTCAGAGACAACACGCAAGCAAACAAAGGCACATATGCAAACATTTACCTTTCCCTTTAAACACCAACCAGTTATCTATACTCCCCTACAAAACTTGCATACTATTTGAAAATTTTCTGAAAAGCTGAAACATTTAAAATTATTATTTTTCTATTATGTTGACGCTGAAAAACGGGTAATGAACAACTCGTTTCTACGACCATGAAGCTGCCCAAAAGCACCATTAACAGTAGCTAATATTCTTAATGACCACTACTCGTTCTTATTACCCATGTTCCAAAAAGGGAAGAAAAGTTAGCCACTGTACCTCATCTGAGTCATCATGAAACTCTATTTTGCCATTTTGAGCGTGGTTGGTCTCCAGCGGTTCGTCTATCCCATCAGCAGCATTGGCCTCAACATGCTGCTGTAGCACAGAGTACCTGTGAACCAAGAACCTGCAGGGCACATTCACACATTGCTCAGGTTAATCACAACCATTTGAAAACTATGCAAAGCAAACATGAAGAGCATTTTTTTAAAAACTAGATTTTAAAGTTTGTTATGCTCGACATATTTTCCTGTAGACAGCTTAAGGTTATCTGCTGGAGTAAAATCCTGTGTGCCAAGGTATACTAACCTGCCACCGCAGACATATTTCTTGACAAAGACTACTCCTGCTGCAATACTCAGAATCAGGACTATGACAACTGTTATCACAACGGGCACAGACTTGGAGGCCTTATTGTCCACCTGTGAAAGTAAGGGCAAACAAAAAAGAAAATGGCAGTATAAGAAGACATACACTTGAACATGAATGGGGGAGGGGGGGTGCAGGGGGCTCTTTCAGCTGCTCCCTTTGCTTCATAAAGAGTCACTACAACAGACTGGTCTGCATATCTATCTAAGAAAAACAAAAAAAAAAAAAACTGAATTTCCCGCA